TACTAGTAGTATAATACTAATAGTATTATACTCGTAGAAAAACACTACTAGAATTCTATACAAAATAATGTAGCATCAACAGTATTATGCTATTAGTACTCACTATTAATATTTATCAGCCTGTAGAATATGATTAGTATTCGACTATTAACATTTATCATTATGTAAAATACGACTAGTATTCGACTATTAACATTCATCAGTATGTAAAATACGATCAGTATTCCACTATTAATATTTATTAGTTTGTAGAAGACGATTCGTATTCTACAAATTATATCATTGCACTAACAGTATTCTACATTTAGTAGTAAAAAAATATTATTTCACTAATTAGTGTTCATTTTCTACTGTTTATCAGTATCAATACCATATTAGTTTCTATTTTAATAAAAAAATTAAAAACAAGATTTATTAGTTGTTTTATTTACCATAAAGTTATCATGAACATATAATTGAGGAAAATTTTGTAATTTGCTTTTCAACAAAGAAACAAAAATAAAAAATCTGAACACCTTTTAAAAAATTGCGATTATTTTCTAAAATATAATTGAAAAAGTGGAACCTTTTTATGCGGACATGTACATGTAGAATAAGATTAGCGTCTACAAGAATTTTATTATACTATCAGAATACTAATTCTGCTAATGAGTTACTATTATCTACTATATTACTGTTATTATTAAGTATTACTATAGCAATAATAATAATAATAATAATAATAATAATAATAATAATAATAATAATAATAATAATAATAATAATAATAATAATAATAATAATAATAATAATAATAATAATAATAATAATAATAATAATAATAGTAATAATATAATAATATAAAACATACTATAAGTATATATTACTATTAGTATTCTACAATTTTAATTATCAGTATTCAGAGTACGATTAGAATTGTACTATTAGTATTTTACTATTATTATTCTACTGCTATTATTTTACTATAAGTAGAGGAAAGGCTTGCAGGTTGTCCTACTTGTGTTACTTTTTATTGTAAAAATGCCATAATTAAAAACGCGACTGATATTATTGTCAAATGATTAGTTATTACTTTTTATGATCTTTTGGAGCAAAAAGAAGCAATAAAAATGTTATTGTTAAATAAATTCTGAAATTGACTTGTGAAAAAATTAAAAAATTAAAAATGTGACTTTTTCAAGTGCTTACAAATGAAATATTTTTATGGATAATTTAAGTTAAATTTTTTTCTGAGTTGCTTTTTTAATCAATTTTGATGATCCAAAAGAAGTTTTTAAAATATCATGAATTATATAATTTTTTTTATCGATTCAAAAATAGAGTTCAAAATTGTAGGTTGACTCACTTTACGGTTTGTAGGTCTGAAATACGAATCCGCAATGATGTTTTATTTTTTTCACATAGGGTAAGTCCGGGGGAGATGGCCATATGGGAGAGATGGCCAGTTCAAATATTTTACAGAATTTGTAAAGAAATATCACTTTTTATGGGTTATTCTTCAACCTTTTGTGATTAATAATAAATCTAAAGAATAATTTGATGAAAAATAATGAAGCTGTAAGTGTAATCCTTGTTTATTTTTTTTGCATGGGTCCAAAATAATTTGAAAATTTCAGATTTCTTGTTGCTATATTGTTATTTGTTAACATAATTTTTAAATTTAAGTTTTATTGAGTAGTGTATAACCCACGCTTCGATATAAACGAAAAATGAAAGGAAAAATTATTTTATTTATTTAATATTTTGACGTTTACTTTTATCATGAATTTTTGGGTAAGATGGCCATTAATGACTTTTATTTAAAATTTTTTTATGTTAATGGTAGATACTTGAGAAATATTAAAGAAAAGCAAATTAAAAATGTCTGAGAACAAAATAATTGATCTAATTGACACCAGAGATGGAGATTTATTTGTAGGTTGTGCTAAAAGTTACAACCGAACGACATTAATTGAAGATTGAATTCAATGCAGAATTTGACATTTGTGGCTACATGAAAACTGCTCTGAACCCCATGAAAAATTTTCAAAATGCGACCAGAAAAAGAGGAAAGTGATGTGAACGATTAAAAATTAAATTTAAGATAAAAGCCAAAAATTATAGGTAGTGGCCATCTCTCCCGAACACATGTGGCCATCTCACCCGGACATTCCAGAGAAATGGCCAAATGCACTTTTTCGAAAATGTAAATTTTAAGATTGTTGCAATGAAAATATTTTATTTTATGTTTCTTTATTTTCAAGTTAAGTGTTCAATGTTTAATTATCAATAAAATTTTAGACAAAAAAGCTTTTTTATAAATTTTACACTACTTTAAAAAAACTATGGCCATCTCCCCCGGACTTACCCTATCTTGCTTTTTGTTTGATTTACAATTGAAAAAAAAATTTATTTTTCAAAAAAATTTTATTTATTAATAAATTGTTTAAATAATTTAAATTTAAATTATTATGTTCAGAAACATTAAATGTAAGTGAAATTAAATAAATTTATTGGAGTTGTTCCATATTATTATCAATTTTTCAAGGTGGGTCAACCTGCAAACCTAAATTTCGAAACGTTGATTTTACATCATTCTTAAAAATTGATGTAAAAATTTTATTTTTTGCCAATTTAAATTATCTATGGGTCAAATTTGTAGCTTTTTAGAGGTCCTCTTTCCGATGGTATGTTCATATAAATTATTATTTTTTTTAATGGGTTATGAGCAAAAAAGCTTAGGTATGGCAACCTGCAAGCCTTTCCTTTATTTTTACTATAACTACTTATCAGTAATTTATCATTTATTAGAATACGAGTATCCTATGTACTCAGGATACTAATCGTATTCTAATACTAATACAGAGAATACTATTCGTATTCTAATCCAGGTACTTAGGATACCATTCGTATTGTAATACAGGTACTCAGAATACCATTAGTACTCTAATATTGGTACTTAAAATACTATTAGTATTCTAATGCTGTTACTTAGAATACCATTAGTACTCAACTTATTATACACTACTATTAATTCGTTGTATTCAAAATGCTTTTGGCTTCGATTGAAGACATTAGTTAAGTTTCATAAAGATTATTTTTAGTACAACTTTGAGTTGCAGCTTTAGGATCTAGATGCAGGATACCATTAGTGTTGATGTATTTATTATGTCTTCGGATCAGATTTAGGTCACTGGTTAAAGGTCAAATATGAAGACTCTATATTTAGAAGAAGTTTTTATGATGAAAAATTTCTCCATACTGTATTTATTTCCATTTTAAAAGATTTTTATAATTTTTAGCATGAAGACTATTTTTAAAAGTCGTTTTAGAATCAGAATTAACAATACCAATGGTATCTCAATGTGTTCGTTATATTTTTGAATCCGATTTACTAAATTCATCAACTCTATGTATCAAAACTATAGGTATAGCCTAAGTTTTCTAAAACAGATATTTAAATACTAATAATCACTCACTTAAAGAAATTTGAACCTCAGTAAGATTAAAAATGTTAAAAAAGGTTAAAAATGAGACTGTTTTTAAAATAAAATTTAGGAGTGATTTTTCGAAAACAATTTAGAATACTATTAGCTTTTGTTTATTTGTTTTGTAAAATACTATATTTGGATATCAGTAAGTCTCATTAAGATTGTTTTAAGGAAGAAATTTCAGATGAAGTTTCCTTTTTTTGAAACCTTGATGTGTTTTTAATATTTTAAATTTTGTTTCAAATTATTTGGTGAGTCATTAGGTTCAGAATTTTAGAATACTATTTAGCCATATTCTGTAACAATTACGTTTCCAAAACTGCTTCTGAAACTTATCCCAAAAAGTACTGATATTGATTATTAATTTCCTTTCGTTTTTATATTAGTGAAGTTAATTAGTTTAATACATTTTTCGACAGATACAGCATGGGTACCTTAATTTTTTCCGTGTAGCATTTAAATTTTAATACTACAATTAGTTCTGAAAGTTGTTCTAAAAAATATTTATATTTAATGGATTCGAATATTTCAATACTATTTTTAGATAAACATTATTCTTTACAGCAATTTTAGGAACAAAACTTTGTGCACTGTTAATCGTCTTTTATTGAGCCTATACATTTTAGGATTCGATTCAAAATACCTTAAATACAGCAGAACCTGTAGGATTTAAATTGTGGCTCTAAAACCGTCTAAAAAAATTTCTCAAATTTGTCTCAATAAGTATTGATATTTGTCTGTTTAGATATTATTTTAACTACTATTTTAGGAGCAGTTATAGGAATAAAATTTTGTCTGTTATAAGCTGTCGCTAAATAAATACATTTCCGGATACGATTCAGAATGTCAGGAATAAAGCAGAACTTGTAAAATTCAAATTATAATTATACAACTGCTTCTGAAACTTGTCCCGAAAAATTTCAAGATTCAACGGGTATGATTAATATAATACTATTTTAGGATATGTTTTAGAAACAAAATTTTGAGTATTGTAAATCGTACCGCATTAATTACGTTGTAGGATACGATTCAGGTCGCAAAAAATACAGCAGAACCTGTAGGATTAAAATTTAAACCCAAAAACCGTTCCTGAAACTGGTACTAAAAAGTAATAATATTTAATGGCTCAGATTACTTTAATACTTTTTTAGGAGGTTTTTTGAAAAGTGGTTTTAAGAACAGAATTATGAATGTAATATAAACAATCTGTACTCATTACTCTTCAGGATCCAGTTTAGAACACAATAAATACAGCCAAACCTGTAGCATTCAAATTCTGATTTTAAAACCGCTCCTAAAACATGTTTCAATAAGTACTGATACTTGTTGGTTTCGATTATTTCAATACTATTTTTTAGTTAAGATTTATTAGAAACAAAATTTTGACTGCTTTAAACTGCCTTACAATAAATACATTTCTGGATACGATTTAGTACACAATAAATTAATCAGAATCAGTAGCATTTAAAATCTGATTTTACAACTGCTTCTGAAACTTGCTCCAAAATTATTTTAGGATAAGTTTTAGAAGTACTTCAAGATCAGAATTTCGAATACTATTAACAGATCCACATTAAATTTGTTTTAGGAATTATTAATTTGTTCCAATTAGATAATAGGTTCAGATTGAATATCAATATTATTTTTGATGAAGAAAATTTGAAGATAATTTTTAGTTAGAATCCGATTATACACTGTTTATGATTGACCATCAGGACAAGTTTTAGAACTGTGGAGTATCCCCCTCAGTATCTAAACTAGCAATTACATTGACAACATTGATGCAAGTTTCACAATGAGGCACATTGAGGCAATGTTGTCAATGTTGCTGCAAGTGTAGATGCTGTTAGAGCTTAGGATCCTGTTGAGATGATTTGGGTTAGGTTAGGACAATCTTTTAGGAGCATTTGCATTAGAATTAGAATCCAATATTAGAATCCGATTCAGATAATTAGGTGTGACGTGTGAGTTTAGGATAAGCTTTAGGAGTATTTGTATAGTTTTGGAATACCGTCCAACAAATTGTCCAAATAATTCTTCCAAACTGTGTATATTTAACGCTTTCTAATTTAACGCTAATATACATTTGAATATTCAGAGTATTAAACTGAAAATTCAGGGCCAGCCCTGATATTCAGAGAGTGGTTCGGGTTTAGGTTCAAGATTCGGCGGGGCATACAGTCAGTTTTGCTGTCACAAGCCACCCTCGGGTCAATGTTGAGCCGCAAATTTCATGCGCTTCTGCTTTTGTCGTTGATTACAAAACCAGACCCTGACAACATTCTTCTTGAGGTCTAATTTTTCAGCGATAGCCGCAATTTTTTCGCCCGACGGTCGCGGTTGTACGGCGAAATATGCCTCGAGCGATCTCTTCTCCGGTGCCGCGATACTTGTTCTCTTGCGTTTCTTCTCGCCGGCCGGCAACACTGACGGTGCGTCGGGATCGCGTCGTTTATTTTTCGCCTGAGCCTCGGCCTCCTCGAGCCACGCTTGCAGTATTGGCTTCAGTGCAATCATATTGTTGTGTGACAATGTCAACGATTCGAAGCGACATATCGTCGATTGGGACAGGGCCCCAACGCCGGGAAGTTTCAAATTGGCCAGTGCTTTGCCAACGTCGGCCTGCGTGACGCCGAGTTTGATGCGTCTCTGCTTAAACCTCTCGGCGAATGCCTCGAGTTCGCGGGGATCGGTGTCGGCGTCGGGATGCAGGCCAGCGGCAGCTGCTGCAGCGGCGGCCGCTGCCATCGCTGGGTGATGATGGGGATGAGGAACACTGCCACTGATATTGCTGTGATGGTGGTGATGACTCATCATTCCATTCATTCCACCGTAAACTGAGGGACCGTGAATTCCGGCATGATGTCCGGGTCCACCGCCTCCTCCGCCGCCGCCCGAACTGTCCGACATTGGGGTCAATGTCGTCATTGAATTGGCTGGGTCCAGCATGTCCAAACTCTCCATTCCCGGATGGCTCATCTGTAATATACAACCCACGTACTTTTAATTCACGCGATTGCCCGAGTGTTTCTTTGTTGTTGCGGTGTGAAACTCTCGTCGGTCATGTAAAGCTTTTATTTACAGCCAGCGACCTTAAGGGCACGGAATATTTTATTCACAATCCTCAAATATTTCCTTGGAGCATATTGGGAATATTCTAACCAAATTGAAGGAATATTAAAATGTCCTTCCTTTAGAGCTTTTTAGTACATTTCATTAACGCTCAAAACAATAAAATTCTTTGAGCAATTTCAAGCTATGGTTTTATGAATAAAACGGATATTTTATACCAGAAGTATGATTCTTTTAGATTTTGAGTGTGCTTTTTTCAATTCCGGTATGAAAAATGAATTTTGTTCAACCCAAAAATATTTATAGAAATTCTAATGAACATTCACAAAAAATTTGTCATTTTATAACAATTTTGGACTAATCTATGATGGTGAGCAGTTTGCTCACCTGCGACGGACCGCGTTAAATATTGTGGCTCAGAGGTTTTTCGGGTCACTGATTATACGAATTCGATGATAGTTCTTGTTTACATTTCTTTCTTTTATACTTCTGGTATAAAATATGATCCGTTTTATTCATAAAAGCATAGGATGAAATTGCTCAAAGAATTTTCTTGTTTTGGGCGTTAATGGGATATTATAGGAATGTGCCATTGAAATCTTGAAGAGATATTACATTTCCAAGTAGATATTCCAGGAACAGATATAATATTTCAGTGAAATATTAGAAATTCGTAGCAATTTTTTTAGAAGATCCTAGAAATATGAAAAATACACTATGGTTTGAATGGACCAAAATTATATTTTTGGAACATTTATCGAAAATGTTCTTTGAAAATTCCTTGAGGATTTTCATAAAACATTCCTCTCGAATGTCTTAAAATATTTCTCGTGAATTTATCATAATTTTTTTAAAGAATATTTGTATGACATTCCTCATAATTGTTCCTGGGACATTTTTTAAAAAATATTTTGGATATATTTGTCAGGATAATTTTAAATTACTTTTTAAAAATTGTACTTTACTTTTTGAAACAATTATTTTACCCGCTTTCGAGAAAATTGTTGAATTATGTAAAAGTTATAAAATGTTCATGACAAATATATCCAGGAGATCGATTATGTACTTGCATTTCTACTTTGACTTTCATTTTCACTTTTATAAAATTTTAATTCCACTTTCACTTTGATAAATTTTTATTTTCACTTTGACTTTGACAAATTTTTATTTTCACTATAATTTTCACTTTTCAATCAAAGTGCAAATGAAAGTAAATATAAAAATCTGACGAGGTAAAAGCGAAAGGGAAAATAAAAAAATTTTTAAATTAAAATGTTGATATGAAATTTCAAGTAGAAATAAAATTACCTAATCAACCCCAAGAATATTTGAAAAAAGATTGTTTATTAAGTAATTTAATGAATATTGAAGGAACATTGTCGATAAATGTTCCAGGAGTATTTAATTGATCTTTTAAACCAGAATGGACAATTCTCATATTCCTAAGAACTTCCAAGAACATTCTAAAGGAATATTGCAAATCTTCCACTGTAATATTCCTGGAATATGTTGCAATCTGAGATATTCCAATAATATTGCAAGACATTTCAAAGAGTGGATATTTAAATATTCCCTTACAATATATGGACTATTCATAGATAGTATTTCAATGCAATAGTTCAGGATTATGAATAAAAAATTCCATACTATTAAAGGGTGCAATTTTGTCATCCTTCTATTTAAGGAAAACTGCAATATTATTGTAATATAATTTGATGGCAGTATTACTGGAATTGTTTAATTGTTTAATATTACCAACATTACACAGAATATTAGTAACACTTCGTGTAATATTACAGTAAAATCACATTCTACATGACTTATAAATTTAATTACAAAGAAAATTTCAATTTAAAACAAAAATTCTGTTTGGTAAAATTAATTTATTAATTTCTGAGTACTTGAAATTATTTTGCAGAAAATATTCATGCATCATTTTCTAATTTCAAACTCGTGACAATTTAATTATTTATTAATTAATTCTTAATTATTTATTAATTTTTAATTAATTAATTAAATAATTAACTATAATAATATTGTTTCAGTTTCAAAAATAATATAAAATAAAAGTTACTATTAGAAAATATTGTTGAAAAAAATTATCTTCACAAACAGACGAGAGTTCCAACCTGACAAAAAGGAAATAATTTCATGTATAAATAAAAAGAAACCTCGAAAAAATGAGGAATGTTTAATTATCAAGTAAAAATTTAACTTCGTTTTGCTCATAGCAAAAAAAAAGTTAAGAGATTTATCCAGAAGACTTTCATTTCTTTCATTTTGCGGGAAATTCTTCCTTTCCCACTAATTCGTAATTTATATTATTATAATGTAAGTAATATCCTTAAAGGTATAAATAACAATTCTCGGATTTGTATTTCATTCTCCCCCCTCGTAGGAAAAGAACCGAGTTTAATAACTGAATTGCTCTTTCTCATCCACTTTATAACCAAGGGATTCCAAACTACCCTCTCTCTCGCTCTTTCTCTCTTTCTCCTCTATAGCAACACTGGCACGCGCCTCCCATATAAGAGGGGAAAGTTTCGGTTTACGTTCGTTCAAATGGAATCATGTTATTTTATAAGATTAAACCCAGCATGGACCAAAGTATGCGCTCGATTAAATTCGAATAATTGTTTAAGTACCCTTCGTTTATTCGTTGAACAGTGATCGTTGATGAGAAGTAAATTGGTTTCATTTTATCAAGAAAGAAACAATTTTTCTTTTTCATGTTTAACTATAACAAGTAACGAGTTTTTTATAATAACTTTTTTCATTAAAAGTTACATACTATGTTGAAATATTGGCTTTGTTCTAGTTAGGACCAGGTTAGAGCCAAGATACGTAAATTGGTATTATTTTGTCGAAAAAGGCCTTTTCTCAATATATTAATTGACAAGTAACTATTTTTTTAAAAATATTTCTTTCATAAGAAGTATAGAATAGAAATTACTTACCTGCCCCGGTTTGGGCCAGGTCAGAGCCAAGACACGTTAGTTGGTATTATAATGTCGAAAAAACTTTTTTTTTCAATATATTAACTGACAAGTGACAATTTTGATTGAAATATTTCTTTCATAAGAAATATAATATAGAAATAACGAACCTGCCCCAATTTGGACCAGGTCAGAGCCAATATATGTAAATTAGTTGTTTGTTAAGAAAAAAAAACCTGTTTTTTAATATCTAATTGATAGTAAATGAGCGAGTTTGACTTAACAATTTTCAACATAAATGCTACATAGTAGATTCTAATTAGGTCCTGGTCTGTGCCAGGTCAGAACCAAGTCTTTCAATTTAGCACTATTTTGTAGAAAAAAATCTTTTTTCTATATTTAACTAACTAGATTGTACTATGGTCAAAATCCAAGGTGAAAATATTTAAACCGTTTTTTTATCTCGTATAAACTACGTTCTATCTTGGGTCCAACTTGGCTCTTTCGGGGTCCAATTGTAATGATAGTAAAAATTTATTCTCGCCTATGTTGAAATATTTCCTATTTTCTGAGCGAAAACACAAAAAGCGGAAAAATGAGGTCGAAGTGCTATTTTAAAGAATTTAAAACAAAATTTCTATCCCATGTTGATGATTAATTAATTTTCGTGTACTTTCTCTCGAGGGAAGTGTATTAATAATTAATATTTTTGCTCAATGTAAATAAATAAGGAAAAATACATATTTATGAATGAGAGAATAAGTTGGCTAAAGATAGACATACAAAGTACAGGTGTGCATGACTACTATGTGCATAATTATGCAACACGTGCCGTGAGCATCGTCACCAGTGTGAACAACTGCCGAGAGCGACCTCTTACAAATTATTTATGAGCCGCTCCCGCATTTTTTTTCATGCCGTACAAGTTAGTCGCATATGATGCGCAACATGTGTAACACCTGTGTGAGAGACACAACATCTTTAAATATGTGCATCAGAAAAATAAACACCTTCTTCTTTTCCAATTCAATTATCACACTGTGATTCGTTTTTTTTTCTCACTTTAACAAATGTACCTACTTATTTTAAATTTTTTTACTTTATTTTTAGTATTTTTCTTTTTTTTATTTCTTTTATTTCTTTTTAATTTTTCTTTATTTTCTTTATTCTTTTGCTCCGTTTTTGATCTTCTTTCCTTTTTTTTCTCTTTTATTAATTATTTCCTTTTTCCGTTTTAATTTTTTAATAATTAAAGTTTTAAGAATTTAAATAAAATATTTGTCTGGTTGGTGAATTCCAAGTTTGAACGTTGAATGAACTCAATTGACTGAAGTGCATGGGAAACCAGATACAAAATTATTCATGTATTATCGAATTATTAAAGCTTCATGAGGTAATATATTTGTCGTTCATTAAAATATTACGAAGAGAATTAAACAAGACGTCTATTGTTTATTTCTTTTTTTTATTAATTTATTTAATGTTATATTTACTTCTCATTATTGTAGAATATCCTAATTAAGAATTTATGAAAAATATTAGAAAAGTAAATAAAAGAAATTAGGTAAAATAACTGATAATTGAATATTAATTAGGAATAAACTCACGATCACGAATTCAAGAAAAATAACAGAAAAGTAAATAAAAGAATAAGTAAAATATAAAAATGAAATAAAAAATAGAAAAACTAATAATTGAATATTCGTTCAGTAGCGAACATTGGACCAGGTTTGCGAGAATGTAAAATATTGTCAAGCCAATATTGTCCCTAGTTTGATATTATTTCTTCCAAGATTCGTAGTAATTTTCGCACTTAGTGAATAAAATATTCATATTTAGAAAAAAAAAGAAAAACAGATTACAAAAAATTGAAAAATATCGATTTGGTATTTGTATCTACGTTTGTAAACTTGGGTTAAAACTAAAAGTGGCCCTAACATGGCCAATATGTAGAATGTAAAAAAATATTTT